ATACATACATATATGGAGTTCTGTGTGGTGCTGCAGGATATTGCACTGGACAATGAGGTCGATTTGAACTGCAAGGTTAGTAGTTCAAACCCAGAAGCTGGTTTGAAGTCACTATGAATAGTAACCAACTCAACGGCACTTAACAGCATCAACATTATTATATATATGTTGTTGCTGTCAAGTGTCTTTGAGTCAATTCTGACTCATAGCAACCCTGTATAGGGTTTCCAAGGAGCGGCTGGTGAGCTTGAATGGCCGACCTTGTGGATCAAACCAACCTTGCAATCAAGCACATTAACCCACAGCACTACACCAGGACTCCAAAAGGGTATCTGTCTGTCTGTCTGTGTATATATACATACATACATATACAAGAAGTCCTGGTGTGCTATAGGATCAGCACTGGGCTGTGAATTTCAAAGCCACTGGTCCAAACCCACCAACTGCTCCTTAGAAACCCTACACAGGGTCGCTATGAGTTGGAACCGACTTGACAGTACATAACAACAACAGATACATACACATATATATGTGTGTGTATATATATATATATATAGATAGATAGATAGATAGATGTATGTATCTATCTATATATAAAAATATATAAAACAGTGTTTTAACAACACCAACACTATTATATATATATATATTTAAATATGTTGTGGTTGCAGTCAAGCGCTGTATAGGGTTTCCAAGGAATGATTGGTGGGTTTGAACCTCCAAATTTGCAGTTAGCAGTTCAGTCCTTATCCCACAATGCCACACCTTGAACCAAATATATAACAACAGCAAATACTACATAGAATTTATTGTGCTAGGAACGGTTCTCATCACTTTCCTAAGTTGTCTCTATTGATTCTCACAATAACTTCATGAAGTACTTGAATTAGCACCCCCATTTTATAAATGAGAAAGCTGAGGCACAGAGCAATTAAGCAGTTAAGTAACCTACTCATGGTTATAGTTTAGTGACAGAGCTGGGAATCTAATCTAAGAGTCCTCTTCTTATGCTTAGCTACTATACTCTCAGTTAAATTAAGTACTACAGATAAGATCACTGCTTTAGATTTTAATGATAACCATCGAATGATCCAAGGCTGTACTCAGGATACATGCATGGTTAGGTAATAATAGTGATAGCAGATGGATAATAACTCGATTTTGGAGTCGTAACACAAAAACCCAAAGCAGGCCTATGGTCAGAAAGACAGCATTTGGTCTAGGGTCTCAGTTGAATGAGTGGTAGGAATGAAGACAGAGTTTAATTGGAGTCTGTGGAGAATTGGTTTTTGAGCTTTTCTGAAGTAAGGCTCTATTGCTTTCACCAGCTTCTCAAGGGGTTTATAAAATATCCCCGGGTATCTTTTAAAAGGGCCAGAGTTTTAGAGGAGAATCAAGTAGGAAGGAATTAAGAAAAAAAATGTGTTTTTCAGTTTATTAATTCATGGGCCCCAAAGAAATTGGACCCAGGGAAAAAAATCAGATCTATACAAGAACCTCCTCCCCAAATCACAGGTTGGTGAGCAGCGTGGTCTTAATCAATAGACTATAGGTAGGCTGAGGCACTGTGGGGTATTGCTGCCCTGTCCCACCAACAAGCCCTGTGCTTTCAGGGACTTTCTGGAGGTTTTTGGGTCAAGTGCATGCTCCTTGTTGTTGTTTTTAAGTGCCGTCGAGTCGATTCCAACCCATAGCAATCCCTATATAGGGTTTCTGAGGAACAGCTCGTGAGCTTGAAGCACCGACCTTGCAGTTCAAACAGCTTTGCGGTCTGGCGCATTAACCCACGGCGCCACACCAGGACTCCTTGATGGTGGTGGTGGTTATGTGCCATGGAGTCGGTTCCAACTCATAGCGATCCAGTACAGGGTTTCCGAGGCTGTAAATCTTTACGGGAGCAGAGAACCTCATCTTTCTCCCGCGGAACAGCTGGTAGTTTTGAACTGCTGATTCGCAACCACTACGCTTCCAGAGCTCCTTTCAGGACTCCTTAGCCCAGTGTAAATGCCTTCTGTGATCTCGTGCCTACCTTCCTGGGCACTCTCCTACAGGCACTGTGTCCTTCAGCCACAAAGACTGAAACATCCCATGTTCTCTCACTCCTCTGTGCTTTTGCTGATTCTATTCTTTTTGCCAAACATGTCCTTTCCCTACAGTGTCAGCCTGTTTTCAAGTCTCAGGTCAAGTGTCACACTTCTGGGAGCCTTTGTGGACTCCCTTGATTGGCTTCGGGACAACTTCTCTGCAAAGGTAGGAAAGTAGTATTTATTTAGGACTCCTGGTATGGTGCTGTAGGATCAGCACTGGACTGTAAATCACAAGGTCGGCAGTTCAAATCCATGAGTGGCTCCTCGGGAATCCTATTAAAGGATAGTTATGGTTTGGAACCAACACAATGGCACTTAACAACCACAATAATACGCAACATCAATTTTATGTGGTACAAGTGGTTAAGTGTTGCCACTGACTGAAGGTTAGTGGTTCAAACCCAGCCATAGGTATCTTGAAAGTGTCACTTGGCAATCTATTTTCAAAAAGTCATAGCCTTTTAACACACATGTGGTCACTAAGAGTCAGAATCAAGTAAACAGTATCTAACTACATCAAATGTGCCAGGTACTATTCCAAGTACATTACATGTTATGTTATTCCTCTCAGAAATCCAATGTGCAGGTGCCCTGGTGGCACAGTGGTTTTGCACTGAAGTGCTAATGGAAAAGTTGGTGGTTCAAATCCAGTCACCAGCTCCATGGGAGAAAGACCAGGCAGTCTGCTTCTGTAAAGACTATAGCTAAGAAAGCTTTATGGGACAGTTTTATTCTGTAACACAGGGGGTTGCTCTGAGTTAACACGTAACAATAACAGCACATCTGTAGCACCCATGAGCTCAGTTCTTTCATGATTCCATGTAGCAGGGGAGCAAACAGAGGCACAGAGGTTCAGTCATTAGCAATGTTCCTAAGTGGCAGAGTTGGACTGTGAAGACAGTCTGGTTGCAGAGTTTGTGTTTCTAACAGCTACTCTACACCTGCCTCCCAATCCGCTCCACTGCTTTCTACTCTCACTGGCCTTGCATTTCCTGCTGCCACTACATGGAACATCCTGCATCTCGATTTTTTTACCTATTGGCCTGTCTTCCCCCTTGACAACAAAGTCTCTGAAGGTGATGAATGTGTGTAATTCATCTTAGTCTCTTCCAGGGCCTCTCACGGTATTAGACATACCAACAGATGCTCAATAAAGGCACACACTGGAAAAACCGGAACAGTACTAAAAGGATAAAGGGAGAGG